GGAACTGAAACATGTCGTGAAACATGAAAAATGATGGTCTAATGTAAATCGAATATTTCGATAAAGAACATCATTTAATATTTTAAATATTTTAAATGTTAATTATTGTAATATTTTAATATTTAATAAGAATTTATTGTGATTAGACGGACAAGATTTAAATAAATAAATAAATATATATAAATTTCATACTAAAGCGTTAATTATTTTCCGCGCATTGTACAGGCGGTAGAATAACCTTCAGTGCGATCTTACGACGTATTTGAGAGAGATCAGTGGACAGGCCCAGTAATCGTCTGTTAGTCCGGAGGTTAGCTAAAAACTTTCGTGATATTTCTCAGCCACTCCAAACATGTGCTTGAAAATTGTCTTGATTCTTACCGCAGGGCATTACATTTAAAATCCGTCTGAATTCGTGAAATTTAAACAAAAGTAGGACAATTAATGTGACTTAAATGTCGTAGTTTGGTCACCCCCGGGATGAGCAGTCCGGTTGTGCTTGAAACACAATGTTCCGTGTGATTAGCTCGCAAAGACTACGAAGTACGGAGCAAAACAAACACGTGACTTTCACTCGTCTCACACGGAAGTGGAGAGAGTGTGTTCGGTTCAAGATGTCGGACTGAAGTGTCCGGAAAACTTTTATTCTTTTTTACCAATGAACTGTAAACAAAATAAATTTAATTCGATGATAAATGTTCTCATGTTACAAATTATTTCCGTCCCTAAAATATTATATTTGACTAGTTTTAAGATATGGTAGTAACTGAGTTTTAAAAACACGGAGAAACATGTTTCGGCGTGTTGTAACTGTCTTCATGTAGAAAATAATTTGTTGCAGCCTGCGACAAAAGTTAGGTCTTATAAACATTTTCCAAGATAACTCAACAACATGACGTTCAAATAAATAATTTCAACAGAATTACAAACCACCTATCAATTTTACCAAACCCAAATTTCTGATCTCATAAAAACAAATTCAGCTACGACGAAACAAATCTCGACTAAATTTCGGACAGGATGTTTGTTTTACAATTCGTTGAGTTAATTCAATTTTGAGGCTTCTTGGTCTATCAGTGTTGGCAATAAATGATGCAGAATGCGTTACCATCGCCTTCAGCTCTTAAATAATTTGTCCTGGCTTTTAAAACAGTGTAGCAGTTACATTAAGTTTTTTTCATAAGATAGTGTAGTTGCGTCATATTGTGACTTATTAATTTAAAATTAAATTATGGAACACAGAATGATATTTTAATTATATTAATTATCTTATTTTAAATACATTGTGATTTGACGGAATAACCAAATAATTTAATTTTAAATTTTTTTCATTAATTTAGTTATGATCTTGAGGTCCATAGTATTGTCAAAGCCATCTTTTGACAACTCTTGATTCTGATTAAAGTCAACATAAACTCGTAATAAATCTTTAGACGCGTTCAAGTGTCTGAGCACTGCTGGTCTCAATTTTCGTTAGCTTTGATCTATTAGACATTCGGTAGGACTCCTTGGACGAGTGATCGGCCCGTGGCAAGGCCTCTACCTGTACACAGGACAGCACAACATAGAAAAACGCGGACAGACATCCATAGCTTGAGTGATATTCTCGACTGAATAAACTCGGTCAGGGACTCAGGCCCTTGGCCTCGACCCAATGGCCTTTCGAACGTAATTTAGAGATAACAGGTGACGCTGCGGAGACAGATGTGAGAGACGACGGTCCATTTCGCCCCAGTAGGTTAGAGCTATTACGT